AGGTGACCCTGACTGGCAGTGCTCCGAATTGGCAGTTTGACAAAAACCAGTGTGTGTCGGCACAGCATCTGACACAGGAGCAATTTGGTGGCTAGCCCATGGCCACTGAGTGTGGGCAACCTGCAACCTCATTGGCTTGAGGATGTATGGGCAATACTTCGTCCAGATTGAAGACGAATTTTCTACCAGAGGACTCTTGCAGAGTAAGAGCATCTTGCAGCTCTCACCTGACTTGAGTTCGTCGTTGGGTCTTGGAGGTTTATGGGGACGTGGTCCCTGAATGGTCTCTGGTGACATGACCTGGCTGCCTGCCTTGCCCTGGGAGCTGGGTGTGCGAGTCATGCTGCATTTCCTTTTATTCGGTGATGCAAGGATTGCAAGGGCTGGATCCGGAAGGCTGGCCAGTTCCAGTTCAGGTGGCTCTTTGCCATCAGCCTGGCAGCACACAACAGGGTGTTAATTCTGGAAATGTCAATTTTTGTCAATTTTTGGCAATCTTGGCAATTAGTCAGGCAGAATGGAAGTGGAAATGCACCATTTGTTTCATGTACTGCTGAATTGCAAAAGGGTGGCCCTAACAGAAGGACTCTGGTACCAGCAGTGCAAAAGCACTAAACTCATGAACATGAACCAGTAGATGGCTGATGGTGTGGAATGCTGTGCAAGCTTATGCATACAGAGAATAATGGGAAAGTGAGGTTTGGAACTTTCATGGCACTTCAACATCCACACAAGCATCCTCTGATCCACAGAAAATCACCTGCAAGAGCTGCAATTCACAGAGAATGCCCAGAAAAAACAAGACAGGATTGCTGCGAGGATTGCTGCGATTTCATCAGCACTACACTCAGAACTGGCAAAGATCATCACAAGAGGATTCTCTGCTGTCCCACTGAAACGAATATTGGGTCAGAAACGGAGCAAGCACTGCACCCCTGTGGGATGCAGAAGGCTGCCATGGCCTGCACGCACCCTTGCCTCCTCAGTCAGTCTGATGAGCCTTCCCCTCAAGAGATTCTTCAAGTCCCTTTGCCGGGTTTGGCGCAGCAACAAGTTGTCGCCAGTCACACTATCACAGCCAACAAGGTTACTTCAGTCCAGGAAGCCAATCAACCAATCGATAGACCAGCCAACCAACCAGCCAACAAAGTGCTGCTGATGTTCCCCAAGACCATGGTGTCTGCAGAACAGTGCACTACAGAACAAGAATTTGGAATCCAAAAAAATTTTGGTTACACAGGATTGTTGGTGTGCCGCTGTTGCTTAACACAGCTTGACCGCTACCTGTAACCAGCTGGCTACACCAGTCTGCTTCAGCACACAGCTGTTCAACAGCCAGCAGTCAACCATTTGTGCTGAGAACGTGAGGGTGGCGTGCAGAGCTGGCACAGTCTCTTCCCTATTGTTACCTTGCAGATGTTCCTGTGATGACATATTCCCACTCCAGGCACTCTGGAAGCACATGCTTCAGCTGCTGCAACTGCTTGATCTGCAGGCAGAAAGAAGGGAAGATAAGCAGCAAGGGTTACATAGCTGCTGTCATGCACTTCCCACGTTCAGTTTGCACTGCACAAGACAGCGTTGCCATTGCAGCTTGTTGCAGGTGATGGGCATGCATGTTATTTTTGGTTCAGAAAGTGAGGCCAGAAAGCAGGGTGGCACTTGGCAGCAGATGAGCCCCCAAAGAACACTCACTGAGAGCCTCAGCTTCGACATTTCCTGGATTGCCCTCTGTGCCTCGCTGAACGTCAAGTACTGTGACCGCGAGCGTCTGATCCCAAACAGTGTCATCAGATCATCTGCAGATTGCACAGAAGCCACAATTCAGAAGCCCCAGCTGGAGGGTGGCAGCATGCTGAGGTCGGACGCACGAAAGCTTCCAGCTATAAGATATTTTTGCCACTGTGGATATTTGCAGTGGACCATCAGTCTCACGGTGGCAACAAGAATCCATGGTGGCAGGAACGAAGAGCCAAGGGCGTCCTCCTGAATCTGGAGTAGCAAACCAGCGGGCGGGGCCCCGGGGAACTCACTGTAGATGTCGATCAGCTGGCTGTAGTTCAGGGTCAGACAAGCCGGGGTGTCGTCCCAGGTTGTCACTCGCGACGCAGGGGCACCGCTTGGGACCACCACCACTGACGGGCTGCCTGCGGCCTGCACTCTGACAGCCTGGTCGGCACCCCGATCTGAAGCCTTGTCCGGCCCTGCAGCGCAATCCGTCAATAAGATGTGTTGAAAAGTTACAGTGCACAGCCTTTGCACACGCGAGGAGATGTCAGGGAAGCGGAGGGCCGCCGCGACCAGGAGCAAATGTGGATGTTTGAACGGAGAGAGGCGCGTCTTGCGGCAACGGCCATTGAATGGACTTGAGGCGACCAGAGAGCGGAGGCCATTCCGTGTGGAGGGAAGGTGTGACACAGTATGCTGTACTTGGCGTGCCATAGGCCCTATGTTGCACGCCGGACGGCAGTTTCGGGCTCTTCAGCACAACGGGAGGCCCTTACAGGCCTTTCATTTGCAAGAGGGGAATCGAGGCAGCTCGAAGCGGCAGTGCGGGGGTGGGGTCGATGGCCGCACAGACTTAGGGTAAGGATAAATGAGCCAGGAAGCACGGCTGCGTTGACTTTTGGGGGCCGTAGAGAGCACCCGTGGAGCGCGGCAAGGGCGCCGCGCGGTGTTCACCTGCAAGAGGAGGTATCCACTTCATCCAAGGGTCTGAACGCAGGGCACACACAGCCATCACGGGAGATGGGTTGGCGAAGACAGGTCTTGGGAATCCTTCGCAGCGCTCGCTCAACAGGCGCCGCCAGATCCCAGGGCTGGCAGCGGACGGCCGCAACGGGAAGCGAAACACGGTGGCCGAACATCCCACTCACCGGACAGCCCCATGGCCTCGACGCCCTGCTTCTTGTTCGAGACCGGGCCGTCGCGCTTCTCCCGCGGGCGCTTCTCGCCGCTCCTGGGCTGGCCGGTCCTGCGTCCCTGCGTCGGCGGGGATGCCGCCACAGGAGACCCTCAGTCCAATCCGCCGGATTTTCTCGCCTGCAATCCACGCAGGGGATTGGGGCTCTAACTACCGTTACCTTCTTCGCCACCATGCTGGCCGTGGGGTAAGATTCCCGTACGGAACGGCGGTGGGGCCCTTTTGGCACTCGCGGTGTTGGGTCGTCGGGTGGGTCGGTGAAGGTGGGCGTCTGCCGGGGCTCAGAAGGGGATGGGGAAAGGAGAGGGCCGCAGCGTTTGGCGGGGCCTGACAGAAACTGAGTTTCTGGACGACGCGCACGTGGCGTTGACGCGGTGTCAATTGAGTGAAGGACATTAACGCATGACCTCCTATTCAGCGGGGTGAGCCCCAAGAGACAGTCCGCCCCACTGTAATTTGTTGCCGTGTGCTCGGGCCTACGGGACCCCTCAGGGATTGCCACCCGGAATATATGTCCCTGTCTCTTTTCCGTGCGGATCCCTTCTTCTGCTGCTGACAAGGCCAACGTCGGTCAGTGGGACAGTGGTTTAGGGTGTCCGGAAACAAGACAGGATCCACACGAAAAGGCAGAGCGACTAATCTCCTGCCGGTTGCCACCCCTCGACCCTGCCGCTTTTCATCAGCGTCCATAGTGGCTCGCGTGGCGCGCTGCCACGCACGTGAATTGTTGTGAATATCTGATGCAGGCGTGATTGATGAGGAAAATTACGATTGTTCAGACCCGACGGCATGCAGCATGGGGTAGCAGTGAGCGTCTGATCAGGCGAGCATCTCACTACGACATCCTGAAGGGCATGTAGGGATAACCTGAGAGCCCTACTGCGCAATCAGATTTGACAGCCATTGAAGAAAACAGGGGAAGCAAATACAGCTGAAAATGTGTGTACTTTGTTCCCATTTGTCAGCACGGACAATACTTTTGCGGACACCAGCAATGTGCACAACTGTTAAAGGTCCAAGTCACTGCCTTTCCTCCGATGCAAGTCTGGACAACCAGCATCCCAATCACTGCAAGTGTCAGCATAATCTCAGCGAGTGCAGCCTCTCAGTGGGGCAACTGTGGAATCGAACATTCTACATAGCAGAGAAAGCATCAAAGGTCGCCTTGAAGGCATTGCTGGTCTATCTTAATGTGAACCTGCTAGTCGCCACCAATACAACTGCAACAACCACTGCCAGAGCGCGCAGCATCAGCTCCATGCTCAAATCTTTTGATTACATTTGTCACATAACATGACAAAACACTGCCCTTGCACCTTAAAGGCGATGTTGGGCATGAACGCCACACCAGTTTTGCTGATCTTTCGCATGATTTGTTCATTGTCACACAGAATCCCCTCCCCCTGAAAACCTGAAACCCTAGTCCTGAAAACCTTCCCCTCTCCCAACAGAAAATACCCTCGTGTCTCATCCCATTGTGTGATAATGTAGCCAGCCTGCATTGGAAATCCCTGGGCAGGCCATAGCTCCCACGGTGCAAGCAGCAATTGGAGCCCAGAACACTGGAACACAGCTCCATGCGTTCACTCACAACTTTCAACACCAACAGGACGCAGCTGTGCCCAGACAATCCCACAGCTTGGCCCCTCGCCTGTCGTGAACTCCACCATCACACAGACAGATTGAAAGCCCAATAATCAAATGGATGGCCATGAGCAGTCACTGTCTCTCCAAGAATACAAGGGCTTTATAGCCTCTTTTGCACATCTACATGTATGGCTTGCTGAGCAAACGCCTCCAGCCAACATTGTTCTTCGGTGAGATTACGATTGTGAGAGTTGGGCAAATCAGTCATGCAACCTGCAGTCTCTGGTTATGAATGAAAACCAAGAGCCACTGCAGAGACCATGCAGCAGAACGGGTTGCTAACACCAGACAGTGCCTTGAAGCAACATTTTCGGGTTTCTCATAAGCAGTGTTGTGCCCAGTGAACCCAATGAACTGCCCATCTCAAGGGTCCTGTCTGCTGGTTTGTTGGCAAAGCCGTCAAATTTTCCACGCAGTCTCCAATCTGCTACTACCCACCCTGTGCCCCACCTTTGCCAGAAGGGCCCTCCTTTCCAGCACCGCCCCATTTCACTCGTTCAAGGGCCTCTTTGTATGCAGGCTTCGTTGGCGGTTGCACAGGGTCAAGGATCTCTGCCCCTTCATCAAGGTCATAGTTCTGATCAGCATCCCAGCCACTGAGATCTCCACAAGCCAAGAAGGGCACCTGCACATCAGCAACAGCCCCAAGAGCTTCTTATCATGGAGTGCAGACCTCATTCATGACAAAGCAGGAATCCAAATTGGCAAATAGCACCCACCAGGCGTCGGTTTTCGATGGACTGCTCCTCCATGGGGATGTTTAAAGTTGATCCAGTCAAGAGTCCACGCAACAATGAAGGATGGAATCCAGGCGGCGGCGTATAGCCCTCACAAACAACAAAAGCTTCGATGCTTGAGTTTCGACTGCTCTTGGGTTTTGTGCAAGTCACTGTGGGAAACAGCATCTTCAGCTGCAAGGCGCAACAACAAAACAGTACAGTAATGGACTTCAGATGAAGGGCTCCAGTAGGCACACAGCATTGAATGCAGGCAGACAGGAAAGAAAGGCCAAATGGGTGCTCAAACCTGCAGTGAATGCCATCATCAAAATATGACAGCCTGTAACCTTTGTTTTATTAGGCGTTGTTGGGAGGGCAAATATCAAGATATGCATTGAACTAAGCCATGCTGTTGAGACAGTTCAATAAGAATGCAACATTGCCACAGACAGTGACATGGCATTCACAGCAACAGGAGACACCATCAAAGGGCTTGGTTGTGGCAATACCATGCCTAGGGGTGCCTGCAGCTGTTGTTGAATTGCAACGGGTGGTCCAAACCATCAATCTCTACAAAATGTTGCATTGAAGGTACATGCAGCGATGCACATGTACGGCGGAAACTCTGTTTCCTCTCACTGTCATCTTGACATAAGCCTAAAAAACATTGTTCCAGACTGAAACTTGTTATCCAACTGGTGCCCCCTGCCTGCTCAGCTCACCTGTGAGTACAGCAAACTGATGCCCTTCCCTCGGAAGACCTTGGCAACAAAATTCCCACCATGTTTCAGGACATGAGTCATGATCGTCACCGCAGCAAGGACCAGCTGTTGCTGCACATACTCATCAAGGTCATGTAGGCCAGTGACATCTGGTGCTCCATCACAAACCACAAGGTCCGCCCTTCCCCCATCGAAGTGGTCTATCACTTCCTTGGCAGTCACCTCGCTGGTAATGTCACCCTGAATCTGGATCACCCCTTCCACGGGCGCCATTGGCTGCAGGTCTACGGCCACAATCTTTGGCAGATCTGTGGATCCTGACTTCTTACCCGGCAGGTACAGGCGTCGGCTGAGGACCTACCAGCAGCTGCAGAATGTGCATGTTACGAGTGGCAAAGCAGAGCAAGGCAACTGATTCCAGGCATTGATACATGTGCAGAGTGTCACTCATGCCGTCTCAAAAAAAGCCCTGCCGGATGTACCTGACAGTGAGCACGACCAAGCTCCTAAAAGACAGCAAATTTCCCTGGCCAATCAGCAGGACAATGTTTGGACTTGCTCTGTAAGGCTACCATTAATGTTCCTCGGAAGAACCACACTACATAGCGATGAACGTAGAAGTGCTGGCAGAGAATGTGTCGAATAAAATATCCAGAAAGCCCTGCAGGACATAACTGACCATGGCCTGAAGGTATGCTTGCAGCGTTCTGTTGTGTAGTGGTCGCAATCAAGCTCGTTGCATAAGAGCAGCAAGTGGGACCACTGCACACCGTCCTCTCCTGCAGAATGGCTGCGAGAAGCCCAACACTGACAGCAGTGTGCTAGCAAGCGCTTCTTTAAACACCTGAGCTTGAATGCCCGTTATGTGCATCCAATAGATCCATGCCCATCAAGTAGGGAAATCGTTTCATAGCATGCCCCAATCGTTTGCGAGTTGGGCATCTCAAGAAGAGTAAAGGGATTGCTGAGTCTTCCCACGTGCCTGTGCTGCAACCAAGCTTGATTGTCTCCCGCACTAACACTGGTAAATAGTGGAGACTTCGCTGGTGCTGTGAGCATTTGTCTAGAACAGCAATGCACTGAAAGTCCATTTGAGTGATGTGGCACTTAAGGACACATACATTCCGTCAACAACCGAAGCGGCCACCGCTTGCGCGTTGTTCATTGGGGCGGAGTGGCAAGACATGTGCCAATGGGCAACAAACCTGCGCTCCAGATGCACCGGTGACCGACATCGCCTGAAGCGTGCCAGGACCATATTTCATTCCGCACGGGCACAGGAATTCACAGATGATCTCAACACCCACAGCGCCCCATTTTCGCCCTTGTTCCCACCGCCATCTCACCTGGCTCCAACTGCCGGGGGCCGCGCAAAGGTCAACCACGTTCCGCACATCTGCAATCACGAGCAAGGACTTTGTCAATCGATCGCGAACGCGTCCTACAGAACCTGACGGAGTAGGAGGCGAGCCGCTCAGGCCGGCAGAAGGCGTTTGGAGACCGTCGCCGGGGTTCGCGTCCTGGCAATCGCCGCAAGGCAGCCGGCGCGAACCCACTGTTGAGAATGCCGAATGCGTCGTCGATTTGCAGCAGCTTGTAGGCGCTTCTCGCGCGCCATCCCTCCTCCTTGGCTTTGCGGTAATATATATCACGCTTGTCCTTTGACGCTCGTCCCATTGCACAGAGCCGCCGGCGGCGTCGCGAACAATGTTAGGGGTTTGCAAGAGCGGGGGCGTGGGGCGGACTGCCGAAGGATGTTTGCACGATCATGGCTGGGCGGGTCACATGTGCATTGCGCTACTCACAGTGTAGGACGGCTGAAGGCCCAACCAAGCCGGCATTGCGAAAACCATAACGGCAAAATTTGAATCATTCAGGAAAATGTGCTCAATAACGTTTTCTTGATAGCTTCTAAATCGTCTTGACTGATTTGGTTTGTGGGAAACTTCGTCCGTCGCACTCGCATTGTTTGGAACTTGAGCTTTTTGGGGTTTGTGCAAGCGTAAGGGACATTGCCTTGGAAACGAAAGAACATTATGTATATTAGAGAGAAATGCCCTGATCAGGGTGCCTTGTATGCAAAAATGTTTGTGGAGAGGATTTGGGCCTTATAGCTTCACTGCACTATGATCAAGCTTTCATTGGTAAATTTGGTTAGCAGTGAATTTTTGTACTTGCAAATTGTAGTGTGGGCATCCTGATAGAGATATTGAGTCAGGTGTAACTTGGTGAATGGCAACCACAATATCCGCAACAAACAAGCAAGTACACTATTCATTGGACATCATGGTAGCTGCCTAATGAGGTGGATGAGCCATGCCTAGAATTTGAGAGTTCCTTCACAGGATGTGTCCAATCCAAAGTTTGGATTCCAAACCTCAAGAAATAAACAATTGAGGGACACAATACAGCTTGTGAATAAGCCTAAAAAAAGTGCAAATTATCTGGAAATGACTGGGACCACAAGCAGGTCCAGCAATCACCCTTGGTGACTCAAGACGGAGTGTATTTGATCAGTGGCGTGGTATTGCTCTTTTTGATGTTGAGCATACCAGTTTCTTTTAGAGTTCCATATAAAGCTCAATTAACCCTTTGCTTGGGCAATTTCTTGAGCCAAAATGGCCAGTTGCGGCGAATCCCCATACATAAATGAGTACTATGCACAACTACACAATTTACACATACTATAAATAAACTTTATTATAAT